ACCTAAATCTCCCTTGCTGCAGATTGAGCCATTACTTCATGTTCTATTTTCATTGGACATGGAGAACAGTTGATCACCATCCTCTTTATAACAGCCTTTAACATATTTGAAGACTGTTGTTAGTCTTCTTTTTCTCAAGACTTAACATGCCCCATTATTTTAACCTTTTCTCATAGTAAGCCAAGTATTCTCAACATTTTATCATTTTTGTTGCTCTTCTATGGACTCTTTACTAAAGTATGTTCCAAATCTAGAACTAGGAACAACTTTTCTGATGAATTTTTTTTTTTTTTTTTGCCTAAACAATACAGATTTGGGTCAACCAAAATATTGTGTTAATTCATGTCAATGTCAGTAAATTGTTTCAGTCAAAATGAAAAAAGAAAAGAATTGGAAATGTCAAAACTAATCATCACAACATTATCAAAATGAAACATTTCAATTTTCTAGGCTAGATATCCAAGGGGATAGGATAGGAGGTGATAGGGTAGTGCATCCCTTATATTCAGTAGTCCAGTGGTGGGAGGCTGGATGTGGTAGACTGAGGGTCAAATACCTTCCCCACTCTGGAGCAGGTACTTCAATCCAGGTCAACTGCTCCTGGTGAATATCTTAACCACTGAACTATTGGCCATTCTGGTGTGGGTCTCTAGCTTCTCTCCTGTTGAAGCTACTCTACTTCTTATAAAATACTTGAATAGTATTGGGCCAGAAAGAGAGAAAAACTCTATAGCCCAGTGGTTTGATGTAAGATATTCTTGGCTTTTCTCTGTAACTATACTGTGGAAGCCTAGTTCAGTGAGGTGTACAAAATGAGATACATTGTACCATCAATTTTGTTTTTTACCACCATTTACTTAGAGGGATTGTTTTGTTTTGTCGGGTTTTTTTAATAATCTTGTTTTTAAGAATACCTTTTAAGTTGTGGTGGATAACTGAATATACACATCTTATAAGAGACAAGAATTTCTCAACCTCTAGAGAGAGATGCTGACAAGTAAAAAATTTTGGAGACTAACTCACCACTCCTGTTCTCAGTCACACAGGATATGGACAGAGATGTCAGGAGGGTCAGATAATCAGGCTCTGGTATTATGCTGGGCAAAGCAATTTCAGTGCCTCGCCTCGTGAAGTATAGAATTCCACACATTCAAGCATCTATCAGAGAAAGACCTTAGTAGATGCCATGCAGTCTGAATCCCTCTCTCTGATGAAAGTAGAAATCTGGTCTAGAAATCCTTTCACCATGGACATTGAGGAAAGGAGGAAGCATCCACCCCAGCAATGGAGTTTAGGTCGGAGAAGTCCCTCCACTGTTAGGATTGTATTTGGGGGGGGTTATTATTATTTATACAGTGAAGTAGCCAAAACCACCTGAATCCCATTCTTACCCCTGTCCTAGCTGCAGCTTTGCATGGATGAGAGACCAGGACCAGGACCAGTATCAACATTAATGCCTGCTGTGTGGCCCTCATGAGGTGAAGAGAGATGCGGAAAATATAACGAAGTATTGCTTATTCTAGTATCCCAGGTCTTGTTCTGGAAGTAACTGTAGCCAGTGGAGATGGCAATTTCATCTGGATCCCTCTCTGTGGCCCAGTCTTGTCAGGGTATCTCTTAGGATTGGAACAAAGGAAGTCTGGGGTGCCAAAATCGACTGTGGGGATTGCACCCAAGATGATAAAGCTTGCTGCAACTATTGTTGGCAGACAGATGCTGCTTCTGCTAATTTTTCCTACAAGTCTTTTATTTTTAAGAAACCCAAAAAGCAGCGAGGGTGTAATAATCAATCCTCTCATTATTTTGTCTACCAATTTGTCTACCAATAGGTCTAATTTCCGACACAATAATTTTAGTTCTTTGATTTCTAGCTTTCTACTCCTCTTGTTTACCAGTCATAATCTTAACACAGTCCTTGAGTGGTAGCAGTAAAACTTTTTCTGTTTAAATTAACTCAGTCTGTCTCCTTGCATCTTTTCTTACACAATTTTATATAACAGGTCATTGTGACAATTTATGGACTTTCACTCACTTTTTACAGCTGAACTTACAATTAGGGTAAATTTGTAGGCCCAATTATCACAACAGTCCCTTGAATCAAACGTAAACTAAAATGGGAGAAACGTCTGCCCTTTTCCTAGCCAAATCATTACAACTATCCCTAATGAGCACCTTTTTCTGGAAGTCTTCCAGCTTGCTATAAGTTAATCTACATGGTGCTATCAGTGGTACCTCTGAAAGAAACGAGGCTCATCGCAAGCAGTCAGAAATCCCATGCTGAGATCTTTATTAAGAAAGGCTTATTAAAAAACAAAGTGACTGTTCATAATTGGGGAATCCTGATGCAGGGGGCCTGGCAGTGAAACAATGATTTATATTAAACATGGATTATCTGTTGTATAATACCACCACCACAGGACCTTTGCCCTGAATAGCTTACAGTCAAAACAGACAAAGTATAAATGAAGAAAGGGTGTTAAAGCGTCAATAAAACCCATGTGTCTGAGCAATGAGGGTTAGCATGTTAAGATGGAACCATAACTTGATTTTTGTCATCAAATTCCTCAACACTTAGCTGAGAGGAAGACTAGGGGCAATTGAGCTTTTAGAAGAAATTTATTCTAAAGAGGAAAGGCTGGAGGCACACAGACTGTATTAAGGAAGTATACAAGTGGAAGGAAGCAAGGAGAAGAAAATGGGGAAGATAGTAAGGTGATTGTTAGCTGTGGACAAGAAGAGGAGAGCAGAAGAGTAGCTGAGAACTAGTTTATACAGGGCCTTGAAGACAGGAAGTCTAAATGTTATACAGAAGCCACAGTCAGTGTAAGGGTTTTGGGGTGGGCTGTAAATGGTGAGAACACTGAGCTTGAGAGATCATTTTTGCAACTGCATTTCTGATAGATTCAGGTTGGAATTGATGTGGGAAACCAGGAAGCCAGAAAGGGTGTAGTTCCAGTAGTCCAAGGAAGAAATAAAGGCCTGACATTTATCACAGGGAGAATGGGATCACACTGATTCTGGAGATTTAGAGAGGAAAATTTCAGTATGATTTATTGTTGGTAGTGTTGTAGTCATGTTGATTCCAGATATGAGAGAGACAAGATGGGTGAGGTAATATCTTTTATTGGACCAACCTTGTCTCCAACATTATTTAGTGACAGGATCACTATATAAGTGTATATGCATGTCTCATATAGGAGAGAGGCGGAAGACTGGTGGAAAGAGGTAAGTAGATGATGACTGCACATTTGTTAGCATGCAGTACCGGGAAGGTACTGGAACTGTCATCTCTATTAGAAATGTGATGCGGGGCGTTGGGAGGTAAAAAGGGGAGTTAATTTTCACAATTAAGTCTGAGTTGACTGCATGGCATCCAGTATAGTGTATCAGACCAGGAGTCTCACTGCAAGACAGAATGTAAGATGAGAGGTCAGGAATTAAAACAAGTCCCAGGTGAAGAGAAATCAGATGCTATGAGGAATAGGACCCTAGAAACAATTTTAATGGATGAGGTGGGGCTGTCTGACCAAACTTGATTGCAGGGAATAAGGCAGAAAACCAAGGACAGTATCTGAGGGACATCATTAGAGTATAGGAAGGAGGAGAAGGAAAAGGACACTCCCTCCAAAGGGGTGTCTGGAGCCTGGTCAGAAGTAGCAGGAGATATCCAGGAGAGCACAGCCTTTGAAGCATAGGCAGCTGAAAAACTGAGATGCAGAGAGCTAACAGCCACATTGAAGTTTACCCCCAGATTAAATACATGATCCAGATTCGAGAGAATGCTTCTAACAAATCTCTGTGTACAAGGTCACTAGCTACATTTATTTAAGTAGCACCTTCTGCATTTACACTGCAACCTGTTAATATTCATTATGGTTAAAAATAAGAGCTTATACATGGTTTCAAAGGTGTTTATGGACAAATGATTAATTATAAAAGAAAACAATTTATGTTTGTCTCATTTGTTTGAACAATAATGGTGTTGTCAGCACTCAGCACCTCTTATGATTGTGCCCTAAATGAACACCTTCTTATGTGACTGGTCTTAGAATCATCTGATTACATGTTTTACAATTGTCCTGCGAAAGATGAACTACTTATTCAAGTGTTGTCCCTTGAATGGCTCTCCAAGGTGGCAACTGAGGGCAGGTCTACACTACAGCAGGGATCGATGCTCTGAGATCGATCCACCAGCAGTCAATTTAGCGAGTCTAGTAAAGACCTGCCAAATCGACTGCAGATCGCTCTCAAGGCAACCCCTGTACTCTACTCCCAACGAGAGGAGTAAGGTAAGTCAATGGGAGATTTTCTCCCGTTGACCCCCCACAGTGTAGACCCCGCAGTAACTCGACCTAAGGTATGTCGACTCCAGCTATGTTATTTACAGATGTGGTCTCCTCATCTCAAAAAAAAATATACAGAAAAGGTTCAGAGAAGGGCAACTAAAATGATTAGGGGTTTGGAACAGGTCCCATATGAGGAGAGATTAAAGAGGCTAGGTCTTTTCAGCTTGGAAAAGAGGAGACTAAGGGGGGATATGATCGAGGTATATAAAGTCATGAGTGATGTGGAGAAAGTAGATAAGGAAAAGTTATTTACTTATTCCCATAATACAAGAACTAGGGGCCTCCAAATGAAATTAATGGGCAGCAGGTTTAAAACAAATACAAGGAAGTTCTTCTTCACACAGTGCACAGTCAACTTGTGGAACTCCTTGCCTGAGGAGGTTGTGAAAGCTAGGACTTTAACAGCATTTAAAAGAGAACTGGATAAATTCATGGAGGTTAAGTCCATTCATGGCTATTAGCCAGGATGGGTAAGGAATGGTGTCCCTCGCCTCTGTTTGTCAGAGGATGGAGATGGATGGCAGGAGAGAGATCACTTGATCATTACCTGTTAGGTTCACTCCCTCAGGGGCACCTGGCATTGGCCACTGTCGATAGACAGGATACTGGGCTAGATGGACCAGTAAGGCCGTTCTTATGTTCTTATGACTTACCGTGGTAGTGTAGACATAGCCTGAGTATTGATGGTCTACTGAAATGAGATAAATTAAATTTCATTGCATGTGGAATGAACACAATAACATTTACCATTCCCCACCCGCTTTGTTTTCCTTTTCAAACCTCGGTATGGTTAAGCATTACAATTGACTTGCGAACTAACAGAGAAAAATATTTGCATTCTCTCCCTCCTTCACACATTTTGACAACATTCACAACCTCCATATATAATATCACAGAGTTCCTCTGAGGGGGGTTTAATCTTTTGCCTGAATATATGCATGTGGAGTATTGTGCAGTTCCACTGAGACCAATATCTCCAGTGGAATTTTCATATAAACAGTTTGACACTGATGTGAATATATACATATTACGCCCTCTTTTGCCATAAATATTCTGTGGCATGATTAAATTCCTCACTGCTTTCCCCTGGGAATTGTTTGAAACGAAGACATTAAGTATTTGCATAGAGAATCTGATAAAGATTTTTGCTATTAATATGGAATGTTTTGAAAGATGACCTATGAACCAAGATTTTAAACATGATTTTTTTGTTATAGCTAAATGGGCATTTATCAAACACTTATTAAGATGGCTGTAGAACAAGAAGGAAAATGATTAATCCCTCATGAAGAAGGATTGAGGGTTTTTTTTTTTTGTCCTCTCTAACAAAGTAGCATTCATCATTTTCCATCTCCCCTGCTACACTCCCATTTCTTGTTCTAGTGATGCTTCTGAAGTTGGACTTTTTGCTTAGTCATCCTATCTATCAAGTAAGATGAATTAAATCAATACTCCCACAGGAAAAATGAGCCCACTAATATTTACATTTATTTTCTCCCTTGCCTTTTCTTCCTGTTACTTTTACCAACAATATATTTACAATGCATTCAGATCACAATGCTCTCTAGTTACTGTGCTAACATTATTTTAACCACTATCTTTCATTACCAATTAGGATACTTAACCAGCCTGGACAAAAAACAAAATAAAAAGGTAGCTATGAATAGAAATTTTAAAATTTAGCTTTAGGGCAACTCTTACTCTTTCAACTAGTCCTTACTCACTTGAGTAGTGCCATTGCCTTGAATGCATGCAAGCAAGGACTACTTGCACAAGTAAGGTTTGATGGAAGACATAAACAGGTTATATCAAGGTTTCAAAATTGAAATCCTTACTTTAATTTCAAGCTCTGTAATGAAATTTAAGCCTTGTGGTTTAAAATTGGCATGCAAAAACTGAAGGGTTGGGTTTAAAAAAAATAAAACACTGTCTATGTTTAAGGAGACTTACCTAAAGAGTAGCACCAATTACTCCAATGGGGCTACGTATGAAAACAACGAAGTCTTGTGTGACAAAGTTGTAGCAGGATTAGATCCAAATGTCCTGGATGGTTACTGTTGAAGGGACAAAGGGGGACTGCTGAACAGAAGAAATTATCAAGGAAGCAGCAGCAGTTTACAGGCAGTAAATATGATCACCAAAAAAGAATCTGGGGCCAATGAAACCAAAATTTGCAAATCCACTGACCAGACTCCCAAGAAGAGCTGTCTTTCTGCAATGTGACTTTCTCTGTCCATTGGAAGTATGGTAGTGCTGCCATATTCTGAGCCCCTCTTCCAACAGGAAGATTTCTGCATTTGTGCTCAAGTGATTAACTGTTGCTACTGTACCAAACCCACCAGTGATGTATTCTAACACCAATAGTCAGGAAAAGGAAGATGTTGCTAGGTGATTGTTCTCCTGCTTTACTAAGGGTATGTCTACACTGGGGACCCTACTGTGCCCTAACACCACCACCTCCGTTACCGCTGGCCATTGTCCACACTGAAAACCCTGAAGCAGGTGCCTCAGATTTTCACCTGTAGTACCATGAGAAATTTTCACCTCCAGTCATGGAAAGATTTGCTACCTCAAGTGCAAAATGTTGCTGGGATGACTTTGGAAATGGTTTCTAATCTCCAACAAAGTTCACAAATATTGGGGGTTTCAGGGATATACAGCAGGGATGGAAAGAGTTGTAGGTACGTTCTCTGTGGTAGGAAACCCTCTACCACTTTCCAACATAGCAGGTGTCATACACATAGGCATGAAAGGGCAGATTTCCTTGCTTCTTAATGCCTTTATTGAACATGTTGAATTAAATATAAAAGAATCCCACAGAATATGCTGGCAATCACACTGCCACTCTCCTGTACCAAAACCCTACCATCACCTGAAAAACTGTGCAGCAGACCAGTGAAAAGAGGTCAGAAACAGCTATGAATTTCTTTTAGTAATGGGGACTGTGACAGGGCAGAGTGGCCCCGCACTGGTACCGCACTTCTTTCCTAGCAGAGGAAGCCACGCCCCAGAAGCTCTGCTGGGCATGCTCCAACTGGAAAACAGGTATAAAAGCCAGCAGAACAGCTTAGTCTGGGCTGACTGCCGGAGAAGAAGGAGGCATGCTGCTAGCTCCTGAGGAGGGAGAGTCTATGCACCAGGATCCGGAGGCCAGCCAAGCCGGGACACTCCCTGATACCCTGACGGAGGACACTGCAGGAGGAGAACAGACTGGAGGACCCCCTCCCCCCCCCCCCCCCCCCGCAGCGAACCTGGCATATATGGTAGGAAGTGACCCGGGGAACTATAGAGGCAAACGATGTTAGAGCCGCATAGGCGCTCGGCATGTTGCGGGCGGATCCCCACTGAGCGGGTGGCAAGGGGAGCTTGCCACTAACAGGGCCCTGGGTCGGGACCCAGTGGAGAGGGCAGGCCCTGGTCCCCCTACCACCCCACCCCCTGAACCATGAGGAATCCTAGGGGCTCCAGCGCTAGGCCGCACTACCCCGCTTGTGAGGGGGATTGTATGGACTCCGGCCGCTAGACCACACTGCTCCCACATGGGGGAGCGAGTCGTATGGACTCCAGCTGCTAGGCCACACTACCCCGCTTGTGATGGAGATTGTATGGACTCTGGCCGCTAGGCCGCACTACCCCACTTGTGAGGGGCACTATATGGACTCCGGCCGCTAGGCCGCACTACCCCGCCAGACAGGGGTGATAGTGTGGAAGGAGGCCAAGAGGCCGCAACCAGTCGCCCAGAGAAAGGCGGGCGCAGGAACTTGAGAGTGGCGAGGTGCCAACACCCCATCCTACCCCTGCCACAAAGGGGCGCTGCAGTGCCAGGCCCGCCACAGGGACATTGATCAGCTTAAAAATCAACATAATGGCTGCACTTTTCCCCCTCAGGAATCACTCACCAACACGTTACAAGCACTGAAGTGATCCTGATAACAGCGGGCTTCTAAACAGGTATGAATTGTAGCAAGTACCAGATACACCCCGACCTTAAACAGCTATCACAAAGGCAGAGAAGAGGTTTCCATTCAACTGTTAATTTTGCTCAGTAGAGTACTTCAAAGCCCAGTAGTATTATAAAACAGGAGTCCATAAGCAAAACAGAAAACCACTCTAAGTTGTGGGAAGTAAGGCTCTCCATACACTTGTAAATGGCAATAAAAAGAAACAAAATGAAGAGCAATGCTACATAACTATGACTGCAGCTGCTGCCATCTGCAGACCTGCCCCAAGACTTATTAACAGTGCACAAAAGTTAATATGATGGGTTACTCACAGGTATCAATACTGAGAAGCACAAACAAATTGAACAATAAACACATCACACCACCTTCACACCAGCCATCAACAGCAGAAACCCCATCCCAAGTTGTAAAAACAGTGTAAGTACTCTATAATGATTGTTTTGATGCTGGCGAAATGCAATCCAGGGTCTCAACATGTGCCTACTCCACTGCATAAATATTTGTCCGGCAACAAGGAACTGGACCACATCACCCGTCTTCAACCCAGTTTTGCATAAAAGGGAGAGGCAACTTAATCAGGAAGTGCCAGCAGCAAACGTGCAAAGGCAGGGAACCAGTACCAATAAGACACCAAAAAGCAGTTTCTAGAGTGTCTCCGTGTGACTCAAAGAACCCTGGGATACACCCCCTGAAATTGTAATCTGGTGTACCTAGAACACCAGGGTGGATGCAGATAGATGCAGGTACACAGGGTTCTATGCATGTACAGCACAACAGCTGTGGACTCTCAGTGCAGATTGGGTTGGCACACACCAAGATGAACACAAACTAGTACTCAGGTATGCACACAAATATAGATATAGTCTTAAAGTAAGTGGTTTCACCTATATATTATTAGTCCAAAAGACCATTATCCTGTGACACTATTCTGACCTATTGGCTTTCTCCTTTAATTAAACTGCCAGTTTTTATTTCTGAAGCGTTTAATGTACTGGATTTTATGATATCATTAGATTTCTTTTTATATTCATAATTGCTGATAAATGTTAAACTTTTTTTTTAAACATGAAAATAATATTTAATCATTTAATGTTGATAAAATCTGGCAGGCAGAATGTTAAGTAATTATTTTATTTGAAGTTTTTAGATAGATAACTTGAATCCAATTAAATTTTATATTACCTCCTGTAAACTGGAAATAAATGCTATGATATAGTAAATCCATTGGGAGGGATATACATTACATAAACACAGTCCTGGAGGTGTAAAACTTCACCAGCAGTTTGCAAAGGGTTCCTCCCCCACAAGGTGAATTCCCTTGAATAATTGAGCATCTGTAAAAATACAAAACCATCCACTCCTTTCCTGTACTACAGATATAATTTTAAAGGGCCGGTACAGTATTGCTTACATATATAGGCACACATAAAACTGAGGCATGATAAACTAAGTTGGAAAAACTAAGCTGGAAAAATAAGAACTGTGACTATTATCTGCAGTGCAAAGGACTCAAGGAGAAATGGGAATTTGGCCCAGTGAATTTAGTTTTATTCACTATGCTTGGTTTCTTCTTGGAAATATGATTGAAACTGGACATGTCGGCCAGATAGCTCCAGGGAGTAGCTAATGGGGACAATAGTAAGACATTCCAAAAATGGTGAATTATTTTGGAAAGTTAGCAATCCATGCTATAACTAAGCAGGTAAGAGGGGATCTTAAGCATAGTGGACAATTAGTCCTACTCTTTTTTCCAACTAGGTTTACTTTCTTTCTGTATATGTCTACAATCTGATTGTTTATACCCAGAAAGATAGCAGCCTGCCCAAAGTGCTCCAGATGCTATACTCAATGTCCGAGCTCTACCTCGGCCATTACTAAATGGGGCATGTTCTGGAGGCAAAGTTGCAAGCTCCGAGTGTACAGGGTGTGCCTGCCAAATTCCCTAACAAAGTGATACAGTTCCTCCTTTGGGAAGTTAATGCATTGCAGCCCCACAATTTGTCTGAGGCTGACTGAGTCAAGCTACCAAGCGGAGAGCTGCAAGGGACCATAGGCCATATTTTGTGGCTGCCTAGGGCACCTTAAAATTTGGGGCACCAACCGTGCTGGCCGTGGTTGGAATCCTCTCTTCTCTGGCCCCTCCCCCATGCTGGGCCAGCAGGCTTCTCCCCACCCCCAAACCCGCCCCTCACTCACTCATTCCCTCACTCCCTCCTCAGCTGGCTGGCTGAGGGCTCCAGCCTCCGGCTCTGCCGCCCCAGCCCCGGGGAGCCCAGAGCGGCGCGGCCGGTCACTGGCGGTGCGGCGGCCCAGCCCACCGCTGCCCGGAGCGGAGTCCCTCCCTGGACCCTGCCTGCCTGCGCCGCTCGGTCTCAGGCTGGGGCCAGGACAGGAGGAGCGAAACTTCCATGTGAGTGGGGGGAGGGGGGAAGCAAAGCAAAGCAGGGGGGAAGCAGGGAAGGAAGGAGGGAGGGGCTTAAAGTGACAGTGCGCTCAATGTCTCTCACACTTCCCTAACACACACAGTGTCTCTCTCACACCCACATACACTCTGCCTCTCATGAGTCACAGTCCCCCAACACAGATTGTGTGTGTGTGTTTGTGTGTCACACAGTCCTACACACACACAGGTTCTCTCTGTCTCTCTCTCTCTCTCTCACACACACACACACACACATTCTGTCACACGCGCGCACACACACACACACTTGTATTATTATTGGTGAGCCAGGAGTGGCTAGGGGCTGCAGGAGGGCTGGGGGCTCTGGCAAGATGTAGCCCGCATGTGACAGCACGAAGACATCTGTCTTGAGCCACTGCCACAGCGTCTGCTGCATATGAAGCTTGTGTGTGTAAACAATGGGGGGGGGATTTCTGGGGGTCCATGGGCGGGGGTGGTGACTGTGCCCCCTCGACACACTGGGGTCAGCGGCGCTGGCTGGGGACTGCCTTCAGTGGATCATAGGGGCACCAGTTTAATAATACTGCGTAGAGCCCCATAAATCCTAAGGATAGTCCTGACCCCCAGAAGTAGATTCAATATCACTTGCAGCTGGATGGGGTGGGCTCACCACTCTAACAATTTGTTTGGAGGGCCTGGAACTCCTAGGGCTGGCCCAGAAATGGCATTGTAGCTTTAAAAACAATTAGACCCACTGCATAAGTCAGCCACCCTCAGGTGCCCTGCAGCATGATAGTGTTGATTAAGTGAGGCTGTTTGCCAAACACTGGATGAATAACCTCCTCCATATGCCAGCTAAAAGCAAAACTCCAGACAAATGTGATTGCATTGACTCTTTTTTCTGTGAATATAGTATGTACATATACATATTCCAGTATGTAAGCTAAGGTTTAAAACCCAGAAAAAAAATGATTTCAAAGAATCATGTGCACTCACTAACTCCTCCTTATCACCAGCCCTGGGCAGGAAGGTTGCACATTGGTACGGGAAATACTACATGCATAGTGGGAGTCATCATCTCACCTGCCTTGCACAGCCCACCTACCTGTTTACTTGGCTGATCTGCAGGCACAGGATGGGAAATGGAGTCAGTTTAATGCAGTTGAATTTTCCCTTTGCACAAGACTAGGACTCAGGATTACTCCAAGTGCATTATAGGCTGGGCTTCATGTGTGTCTTCCATCCTTCTTACCCCATCATCACATTTTCTAAGAAGATAGATGTTAGATTTTCACACTGAACTAAATACATTTTATCTCAACGTTCTTCCCTATGTTATCCCCTATAATCTCACACCTGTATCTCAGGATAGATCACTCAACCATTGTTTAACCTTAGTGTCATATACTACACCTTTTTTATTACTAAGAAAAAGTCACATCAGGATGTCTGCAAAACTAGATCTGGAAAGCCTGCTGCAAACTCCCTTTTCATTTTCATCTTTGTCCAATAGTCTCACTTGTGATTGCTTTTTCCCTGTGGGTGCTTATAAAGAAAGCCAGTCTAAGAGGTCATTATAGAAACAATTTTGCCAGAGTTTCCACAGTAACTAACCAATCTACTCTATAAATACATACTTAAATATTTTTACACTATTGGATAGCCATGTACGTGAACATTTTTATTAATTTTTTCACCATTCAGATAAAATGTTCTATTAAATTATTACATGAAAGATAATATGTGGTTGATTAATTGCTTTAGTTAGCTTTTGATGAGTATCTGAGGCCCAGCTACACAGCAAAATAAAGGTTATTGCATGACACAACAACAACAACAAAAAGGAAATCTTAAATTGTGCTAATGAAAGTTTTCCTATTTATGGCTGTTACCTCTAGCCATCTGGGACATAAATCAATTATTAAAAAATATTTATTGGGCTGCCTGGAATGGGCAGCATGGATCATCTGTCCTGGACCGGGCCCATTTCCAAGGCTGTCAAGATGCAATGTGCACATGCCATTCTACATCCTGACACCAACAAACAGCATCTGTCAACAGCTCTCATAGTCAGCATGGTTTTCATGTTATTCAGCCAATAGGTTGACTTTCAGACATTGTGACACCACTACACGCAAGCTCTGTAGCAAACTCCCTTATTCTGTGACACAGAACAATTGAGCTCCATGCAGCCTGCTGTTCCAGAGCTTGTCACACAGCAAGCTGATGTTAAAAACCTATCACTTTGCCCAAAGGAATCAAGCAAGTGTCCCCTCCTCATCGTATTTTACCTTGCTCCCAGTGTGTCTGCCTGGCGTCATTCTCTTATCCCAGATATAGATGCAGTTGAAGTGAAAAGCATAGTCAAAGTTGTTACAAAAAAAAAAATCCTCAACTCTAAGGCTACGTCTTCACTAAGGGGGGGGGGTCGATTTCAGATACGCAAATTCAGCTACGCGAATAACGTAGCTGAATTCAACGTATCGCAGCCGACTTACCCCGCTGTAAGGACGGTGGCAAAATCGACCTCCGCAGCTTCCCATCGACGGCGCTTACTCCCACCTCCGCTGGTGGACTAAGAGCGTCGATTCGGGGATCGATTGTCGCGTCCCGACGAGACGCGATAATTCGATCCCCGAGAGGTCGATTTCTACCCGCCGATTCAGGCGGGTAGTGTAGACCTAGCCTAAGACACAGTTAATGAAGATAATTTAAAGTGGAATATATTTTAAATTGTTTAACGCATCCGTAACTTTTAATATCTTTTGCACATGCAGTTGGGAGCAAGTGGTCCAACTGCTCAAAGTATTTAATATACCATCTCTTATAGAACATACCTTCGAGGAACAGCTTCAAGCAACACATTCCCATCAGTTTCTTTTAATTTAAATCAGAGTGCTTGTGAATGCAAGTGTAGAACTTAACTTTCTGCAAAAATGAAGCCTTGGGCCATACAGCCATAGCACACCTGAGAGAGAACTGAGCAGAACTCTCCCCTTTCCCCACCCCTAGTAGGTCCTAGGAAACATATAGCGCCCACCTCTCCCCCAGTCAGGTTTGGGGAAGAAAGGTTCCAGGGAAGAGCAAGGACCCAAGGAACAAACTCTCAAGCCAGTGGAAGCAGACACAGAAACAGCCTCAGCACATTCTGCAGTAGGAACCTCAAACTCTGGTATCATCATGCTGCTTTCCACAGTTTTTACTCTGGAAATTCTTTTCCCTATGCTGACTGGCTGTTGATTCCCAGACCTTCCCTCCATCTCTTTACCTCAGCTTCACTCCACCTGCCCAGCATGCTCCCTTCCTTCTCAATTAGCCCCTCTTCTTTTATTTGCCTTTCTGTTGAGCTAATCTCCTTCTAACTGACTCTGCCCAAAGATGTGTTGAAAAATTGGCAATCTAGCATGATGTTTGCAAGCCATTGCTTTGCTTGAGTATCCTACTCCTTTCCCCCAACTTGGTTTCTCATGACTATTTAGGTTGTAAGTTCTTTGGGGCTGGGATTGCCACTGGTACCATAAACTCCCTGAACATTAAATCTCACCAAATGAGGGTCGATCCATCCTCATCATCATATCCACTCATTATACTCCACACCCGAACATAGCCACTTTATGAACTTCATACCCTCATATCTCAATGCCTGTACTTTGACCCATCAACCTTTTACCCCCAATCAGGGATATTGCAGATTATGTATTCCTTATGCCACCCGATTTTAAACCAAACTTTGCACCCTCGATAATCTGTACGTTATTCCCTGATAACCAGAAACTTCTATGCTTAAACTCTGTACCGTTCACTTTTTTTTTTTTAACATCATCTTAATAAAATCTTTATACCTGTACCATACACAATGGAGTCCTGATCCTGGCTGGCCAATAGACACTACCATAGTAAAAGTAAATAATTATAATAACATGCTCATCAAGTCTCCACTGGATGTTTTTGGGGTGGATTTTTTTTTTCCATTTGTTTTTTGTTTTGTTTTGTGGCAGCTTTGAGTCAATTACTTGTGATTTTTTTCTGTCCACACCAATAGAGTCACCAAAAAGATACCCACAGCTTTCTGGTATATGCAGTGTTGTTTTAGCTGAGAGAAAAGGTGAGGGAAGTAATATCTTTTATTGGACCAACTTCTGTTGATGAAAGTGAAAAGCTTTCATGCTACACAGAGCTCTTCAGGTCTGGGAAAGGAACTGAGTGTCACAGCTAAATACAAGATTGAACAAATAGTTTAGCATAAGTAGTTAGCACATTTTCTAATGGACCATTCAAGGTCATAACTCTGCTAGACACTAAAAATCATGGTCTTAATAAAGACACTGGATTTATGGCTTATTACAACAATCTGTAACACACTAACCCCTCTTTTTGTCCTATGACTCCAGGGGTGTTAACAAGCCACTTCACCTTGAATGGTCCCTTAGCATATTTGCTAATTATTTATGCTAAACTATCTGTTCGATCTTGTATTTAACTGTGACACAGTACTTCCTGTAAATAGGATAGCAACTGAGAGCTTAGAGCCAGTAATATTTGTGGATATTGATTTGGATGTATATTGCACAATAGTCACAGAAAACAAGATTTCTCATGCATCATAATGAGAATTCACACCAGATTACAGAAGCTGTGCTTGTCCAGGCAGGTACCAGAAATATACCTTCTTGTGACACATGCACCACAACAGAACAACTCCAAATTAATATATTACAGAAAAGTTCATCAAGAATGAGCTAGGGGGTCAAAATACATGAAATGTTGAA